GGGGGGGGGTTGCAATATTGTTAGTCTGGTGCTAAGAGAGGCTAGTTCTTATCACCACAACATATTATACTTCGCCACTTTAAAGCCTTTTTTGTGTGCATCCATTCTGACGAGTCCAATCATTACATCAAACTTCTTTTGAGCAGAGCTGTTCTGTACAGAGAGGGTTTACTATGGTAGGAGGGATAATAAATGTAAGCGCGCCCCTAGTAAAGTTGTTATCAACGACCCTTATATCCACCTCTCTGGCGTAAAATGGTCCAATTTATCATTGGTCGCAGCATGCAGTTAGCGTAGTCCGTTTTGGGTTAGCGCCCGCAACTTTAAACCTTAAATCTCTGCATTGGCGATGGGAGCTCTGTGGGAATACAAGAGATGAACAGTATCAAATGACTCAAAAGCACCACCAAGAGGAGATTTCAGGGCCTCTAGATACTATAGAAGCTGCTCCATTAGCTAAGGACCTTCCGCGGCCAAAGAGAGCTCGAATTCAGAGTCGAAAAGCGCAAGAAAATCAAGCTCAAAGTTTGTTATTCGAAGTACTTTCCTTTCGACCTGCCATACTAAGTGTAAGCGTACCAAAACCGGCACCCGGCCAAAGAGAGCTCGAATTCAGAGTCGAAAAGCGCAAGAAAATCAAGCTCCAAGTTCGTTATTCGAAGTACTTTCCTTTCGACCTGCTACACTAAGTGTAAGCGTACCAAAACCGGCACCCTTGGATTCTTCCTCACCGAGCGGAAGACGAGTATCTATCTCAAAATTACAACGCTTCTCAAATAGCCAAAACAGCTCTCAGCAAGTTGATATAACACCACAGGATAAAAGAGAGAGAGAAGAATGGCAGAGACAATTTAAATTAGCTCGAACGAAGCTAGAAAAGCTGAAAATCCTTGTTGCGCATATTGGCCCTCGTTAACCTTACCCTGAGAAACTGAATGTTCTAACCCTGTACGCATTGTCAGAATCCCTGTGTATATAATACATATCTGTTACATATTAGCATAATAGTATAAGGATCCCTGTATACAAAACGCATAAAACGCTCTTATAACTGTTATATCCTGTTATTTATAGCAGTAAGCATTACTATACAAATTAAACGCTAAATACTATTTCTAAGCTATTATAATAATGCGCTTATATAACTATTAGTATAAGTAAATACTTCTCTTAATAAGAGTAACTTAATTAAGTGAATTAGTACCTCTGTACGCTATTTACTACCTACTTCTAATACGTATTAGAGCGCTTATTGCTTCAAAATTATAAATATAAGCTAATTAATCTGTTTTATTAATTTATTTTATAAGAGCTATTTCAGAAGATTACTAAATATATAAACAAATATGCATTCAAAGAGAAATCACAAGAATTCGATAAAAACTAATGAGAATAAAGAGATATTACTACTATAAATATCAGAGATTATATTAGCGCTGTACTTCTTATTAGCATACAGCTAAGTAGCAGAGATCTACCTTATTATTAAAATCAGAAGAAGAACTATCCTTATTAGCTAGTTGCTTAATATATCTCTCTACGCAGATTTCAGCAGATTTCAAGATATCTTAAGCTTAATAGGCCAGGATCTCTCCCTAATAATTAATAATATAAGAAGGTTGAGCCCTTAGCCACTTATTTTCGTAAAGCTATGACTCTAAATATGTATAAATTGCTACAAAATCTCTTAATTAACGAATAATTAGTCAAATTCAAAGGGCGTTTAAAGCATACTATTCAGATGAATTCGAAAGCCGCTAGTAAGGGATACAAGATCTATAGTCTCTGCTATTCAAACGACTATATAGTTGATTTCAAATTCAGCAGTATTATAATAAAAGTTACTAAATTAAGACGATATCCTGAGTTCTCTTAAAGTGTTACGAATCCTCCCGCGACCTACGCCAATACTCTATTACTTTTAAAGCTATATAAAGAATACAGAATAATAAATCCTAAATCTAAAGATAAATAAAAGCTGTAAATATAACTATAATACTAATTATAATAGAAGCAATAGCCTTTAATTACTTAAGTAAAAAAACTATAAAGTCTTTATAATATTATTAAAAGACATTAAGAAGGCTCTAAAACCTAAAGAAACTATAGATCTTTAGACTAGACTTCTTAAGTAATATTATAAGTTCTTGTCCCTATTTAATAAAGCTGCTATTAATAAGCTTTTATTATACCGCTCTAGAATAGATTATAAGATTAAGTTATTACTAAATACTAAACTATTGTCTAGAGCTCTATATAATATGTCTAGAAATAAATTAGAGGTCTTAAATAAAATACTAAAGAACTACTTATTAAAGAACTTTATTTATATATTTAAGTCCTTTGCTACTGCTCTAGTCTTATTTGTTAAAAAACTCAGAGGAGGTCTATAGTTTTGTATAAATTACTAAGGTTTAAATACTATTATAATTAAGAATAGATACT